ATAGCTTATGATTTCACTTTCTGAGAAGCTTGCTTAGCCAAATATACTACTCAATAATAAGGTAACACAAAAGTGTGACTAAAATTGACTTCAGTATAGTACACTTGGGACATGTTTGGACAACTTTCTCCATAAACACTTATGCAAGAGAAAAATAAGAAACTAAAATGGAAGTTTTCACATAAGTTAAAACCACTATATAAGTTAATATCACAAAATCAACTTGTAAGCTAAGGATTAAAATCCAAAGTGTCATCCCTCTCACTTCAATGAATGAACATGATAGGCTCTAAATAACTCTGAAAACATCTTTATGGGTAAGTGTTAAGAAGTAAACTTTAAGTCTAACTCAACCTCACAGAACCGGTTTGTAAAGTGAAGTTTGCAGCCATTTATATACTCTAAATTGACCTTACCTCTAATTGATGTAGGATTTCTGAGATTAAGTTTATGTATAATCCAATTATAATGGTTAGGACTGTACTTACTTATATATTATAATTTGATTTTATTCGTAATTGACGTGTTATTTGAAAAAAATTACACTTTTCCTTTTGATTGGAACATGTCTTCTACGAAAAAGAAGTGTTAGGACATGCTACTTTGCATGGTGTGGATCTCAGTGTTTATGTTTGTTCCTAGATAACAAAATTTGTACTAATGCCACATTGTCTTTTATTCACCCCCTCACGTGGTTAACAGAAGAAATAAAAGACAAAAGAGGGAACTTCAATTTTTATTTTATTTGTTTACACATGGATAACAAGTTATCTCTTACTCCGTTCTTCATGTGCAACTGTTTTTTCCAGACTGCAACAGGGTGAGCATCCATCTCTTCTTATAAACAGAATCTGCTGAATAAAATAAAATCTCCATTTGTTGTCAATAATAGTAGACAAACTGCATCAAATAATTTGACATGTAATTGGATCATTCATTACAAGAAACCAATTTGGAGGGAACATTTCTTTAATTTTTTTCGTAAGCTCCAAACTGAAAAATTGGCCTTCTAACATGATATGACCATTCTAAATTGTAAGAAAACCTATACCTATATAGCCTATGATAACTACCAAATATTTCATTGGTGCCTATGTAGCTGTAGTACAATAGGAGTTTACTCATTCTACCAGTATTTTGGAGCAAAAGATAAAAAAACTGATATGATAAATCCTCTTATTGAGGCATCAAGCATGATCCAATTGGGGGACCCCAAATGCATTTTTACACTGAATCTCAAAATGAATGAATAAATGTTTCATATATGTTGATTTTGCTATAAGTTGAGAGCCATTATGATAATGGGTATCCCCATCAATACGTTTGTTGCATTGTCCTGTAATGCATATGGGAGAAACCCATGCCTACGCAAAAACAGCATCACTGCAAAAGAAGATAGCAATCTAAGCCACAATATAACAGAAATTACATAAAAAATATCTATGGTCCCCTTTCTTCCTTCTTCCAATGTTCACGTCATCACGTGCCACTCTTTATTGCAGTTTCTTAACAATGCGGTCTCAAAACTTGGAGGATATATCAACCACACTTCATAATCGGTTCAAGAACATGGCATCTAAGAGAATATAAAGGAGGGACCACAAAAAGGGAATTGCATATGGTTAACACAAATCGTGAAAAAAAGCATTTTGAATTGATAAGTTTAGACTTTTGTAAGATTCCTTTTGAAATCACAATTCAAAGTTAGTAGAAATTCAGTCTGAGTTAAAAGTATAATATTGATAAAAATGAGTAACGTGAATAATATATAAGCGAAAAAATTCATAAGCTTGTTCCTTTTATCTTTGGTTTTGTTTGGATGATATAATTTAGATTTTATACTAAAATATTATAATTCGGATAAAGTAATTAGAAAAATTTAAATTTAAGAAAGTTTGGAAGGAATTTTAAATGAATAAAATAGAATATCCTAAAAGATATAAAAAAAAATATTTTTCTTTCACTCTGTATATAAAAGTTGAATCAAGTTAGTTTGTACTAATGACAAAAATGAAAAGAATGTTTTTTTATCTTATCTTGGAAAGGTATGAAAATTGAGAGATGCAAATAATTTTTTTCTAATACTAAAAACAGTTTATCAAACTTCTCTTAAAATTTAAGAGTATTAGACAAGGATTCATGAAGAGTTACATTTATTCATGAATAATTATAACCGATAAAGAGTTACAATTATTAATGAAGAGTTACAACTATTCATGAAAAGTTACGATCATTTATGAAAAAAATGTAACTAATCAGAATCTAGTATCTCTTGTATTTGAATGATAGCTTATCAACATCTATATAAATGGATCATGTGCTCTATTGATGTATAGATAATAAAGAGATTTTTCTCTGCATTCGGTCATTCACTTAACACACAAATCAATTCGTAAGAATTTTATATTCTTGTGTTTGACGTTAATACTAAGAGTGAGTATTATAGTTGTATTTCTTCTTTCTATCTCAAAAGCGAATTTCGTGATCTCTTTCACTCTTATAAGGGATGAAATATTGTTTTTATTGTTCATCTTGTTTCACTAAAGTTCTTGGAAAATTGTTCCAACACCTTCAATCAAATTAATGATGTATACCATTAAATTTTTACTTAAATTACTCCTTTATTTTATTAAATTGATCGTTAAATCTCTACAAATTAATAATCTACTAACCTAACCAAATCAAGGAATAGCCTTCAGATTAATCTATAATTCACTTTAATGGGGTTTACCTTACAAGCCATATTTCCATACTCGATATACCTTCATCTCTAACGGACAACAACCATTTTTGTTTTTCCTTTTTTTCTTATTATCTTCTTTAGATTCACAAGTTCACGTCAGATATTCCCACAAAAAATAGGTTTTGGAAAAAATAGATGATAGGCCATTTTTTTAAAATCCAATTAATTGCTCATAATAAAAAAAATTATTAATATTAAATATTGGTCTAAGAGGTCAAATCAATTGTAGAAATAAGTGTTTATTACATAAAATAATAATATTTTCAAATATGAACAAAGACAAACTTAAAATCAAGTAAAAATTATAACTTAACTTTTACTTCCTGCACCCATCAATTTCTTCACGCACCAGCTCAAATTTCAAAATGACTATTTTACCCTAAAATATGGTTCGGAAGTTTTTCGGAAAAAGCTTTCCTAAACAAGTTTTTGGGTTAAATATAATTTCGAGGACTAAAACGAACGTTTCGAAAAGAATGAGAACCAAATTGTATCTTACTTTAAAACAGGGACGAAAACCACTTTAGAGACTAAAAACATATTTAACTTCAAGTTTTTTTTTTCACTCTTTTTCTTTTTCTGCAGCATTTTTCCTTTTTTTTTTTAAATCTACAATCGTGATGATGATGGAAGCGGGTGGTGGGTGGTGGTAATTATAAATATTTATTTATTTTTTCTTTATTATGAAGTGCAGTTAATAATTATAAGGTGAAAAAAACAATAACCTTGTAATTTTACTGAAAGACATCCCAACAAATTTTCTCTCACTTATACCTTTCAAGGTTCAGGAATTTATACTCTCTTTTAACTTAGAAGACTCATCTTCACTTAAAGACAAAATTAATTTAACTAATTACATCTATTTTTATCATGTTTTAAATCAATCAAAACAGTTTACTTTAACTAATCATTTTGATTTAAAAGAAATAAAAGAGATAAAATTAATATTAAATCTATCAGAATTAAAATGTACTTAATTTTTTAAATATGTTTACAAATAATCTGAATAGAAAAATAGATCTATTTAATGTTCAATTATACAAATATATACAACAAAACAATAAATGGTAAAAATTAAAGAAACATTAAATTATAAAACCATATATACTTTAGGATGTACAAGATGTTAAACTAAAAACATACGAAACCTTAAAAGACACATTGTGTACTTTATCCGTAGTAAGAGAGTACAATACAACTAGTCCACGAAACCTTAGTTCACTACATTCTCCACTGGAACAAAATGATAAAATTAAAATCACACGTATATCTAAACATAATCCAGGAATGGTAAAAACAATATATATATATATATATAAAAAAGATTAAAACACCCAAATGCTCTACTATTAAATTAATATAACTTGGTGATAAAAAAATAAGTGTTAGAATATTTTTGCATAGGCAAAAAATAGACTATTAAATCTCAAATTAATTTATCATGAATATTTTAAATAAATTGTTCATAAAAATGAATTTGAATGTTAGAATTAAATATAATTAGATATTATAAATATTATATATATTTAATTATTTTTTCTTTAATTTTCAGTTTATAAGTATATCTTTATTATATATAATATTTTTAAATGATACTTTGATTCATAACTAATTTCTTAACTCTATAAGAAAACGCAAATTTACATACAATTACTTGAAGTACATATCATGTGTTATTTACTATTTCTGTAATAAATTATTTCAAATTATCAGTTCAATCGTACTTATAAATTTATATTTCCAATCATCTACCTCTATTTTGTCTACCCTCTCTTGTTTATGTCTCAAAGTTATTTTTTTAAATGCTAAAATCATCTTATATATTATGTATTATCTATATCTATACTAAACCCTAAACCATAATTAATGTCACGCATATCTTTTTAGTCTATTTTTTCAAAATTTTATTGAAAATGCATAAAAAGATAATATCTTTAATTGCAAATACACTCATATATAAGAAAATAAGGTTAAATTAAATTTAGATAAGAGTACATAATAAATAAATTTAAGGTGGATAGTTTTCTTAAACTTAGGTTCATAAATCTTCAACAACAAAAAAAGTATAGTAATATTATTACTGATATTATAATATTATTGCTGATATTATAACATTCTTGGTCAATGTTTAAATAAATTTTTCATTTAATTATAATAAAAAGAAGACTTAAAATAGTACCTTACCTGCAGAGAAACTTTACCTTTTTAACTATTAATATCTTATATAAAAGTTTCCATTTGAGTCGCTTAGCTAGCATATGAACATGGGAAAAGGAAAAAGGAAAAAAGTAAACGTGCTTAAAGCTTTTCCGTAACATACGCATCTTTGGCCTTGGTTTTTGGCTCTGTTACACAGCAGGCATTCCCTCTGCAACTGCAACATCGTATCTTCCTTGTCCTCTTCCTTCACCTTCAGCTTATTCCCTCACTTTTCCTTCTCTTTTTTATGTACTCTCTCTCCTTCTACCAACTTTTCCTGTCCCTTCTTTTCTCTTTGCAACACTCAACTCTTCCTTTCTTTCCCATCTTTCTTTTATCTCAAATACTCTTTTTTTGCCTCAAGGTTGCTCCTTTTTCACCTTTCATCACACCCCATCGAATCCTCACCTCCCAATTTTGTTTATTCAAGGTGGGTCATTGTATCGTGTATCTTTTGTTTTTTGAATTTCTGGGTCGTTACAGGAATGGGCTATGATGGTGTTTCTCATTTCTTCCTTTGATCAGTTGAACGTATCGCCGTGACTTATAGTCAGATTTCATTTTTTTAGCACACAAATGCATAGCTGATTCTTGTGATTTTTCTTTGTTCTTTTGTAGATATTCATCGTTGGAGGGGAACCCCCTGTTTCAAGTTTGTGGTTTTTCTTGTTATTCCTTTCATCCGTTGAGTCAGATTGTGGGGTCCTTCAAAATTGGGTCTTCACCTTCGAATTTGTTGGCATTGTTTCTCCACATCGATGATGATCAATTTTGTAAGTGATGCTGTAATCTGATTTTTTATGTTAAAGTAAAAAAAAAAATTAAAATGGTGATGCTTTGGATGGTAGAGTGAATCATTGTCATACATGGAAGTGTTGTCGAAGTTCTAGACCGGCACCATGAATTCAGTAACTAGCAAATGTTTGATTTTGCTTGTTACTGTTTTGATTCTTAGAGCACTGATGTTTCCATCCTTCCCTGGTTTTGAAAGGATTGAATGGAGTAACCTTGTGTATATACGCACTCCATTGTTGAATTTTGACTTTGGAATACGACAAGATAAGTTTTTGGTGGTTCCTCAGATTGTGTGGGGATTAAACAACCAGAAGATTGCATTTGCAAGGGCCTGTCTTACTGCTAGAATGCTGAACAGAACATTGTTGATGCCAAGCCTCAGTGCCTCGTTGTTTTACAAAGAAATTGACCTCTTGCAACCTATTTCCTTTGACAAGATATTCCAGTTTGAGAAGTTTAATACCCTTTGTCGTGGTTTTGTCCGGTTGGGGCTCTATTCAGATGTCTTGAATAGAACAGAAGTGCTGGAAATGGAAAAGGGAAGTGGCAGGAGGTGGACAGTGGAGAGAGATTTGTCACAATTGAAGGAGCATGGCAAGGGCTCTTTTGATGACCACGAGGTAATTCGGATTGTAGGGAAGAACCCTTTCTTGTGGCATGATCATTGGCCTGTGAAGGACTATGCAAGGATTTTTGAGTGCCTGTATTTGACAGAAGAGATTGCTAAGGAAGTAGACAGGGTTGTGTCTAGGATTAGAGCTGTTGGAAGAAAGATAACAGGCAACACTCAAGCAGTGGAAATTCAGAAGAATATCACCAATGATGGACCTTCTTTTGAGCCCCTTCCATATGTTGCTGTCCACATGAGGATAGAAATTGATTGGATGATTCATTGTAAAAAATTAGAACGGCGATTGAATGCTAGTCAAATCTGCAGTGACAAGAAAGAGATAGTGGAAAGAGTTAGGAACATTGCTGGTTTGAAGACTCCGGTTGTTGTTTATCTTGCTGTTGCCGATAAACTCCTCAACAATTCTTCCATACTTGAAGGTTGGGAAGATGGGTTTGTTCCTTTTGAGAAGAAAAAACTTGGTGTCGATGGAATTTACAAGAAGTATCCCTATTTAATTCAGTCTGCAATCGACTACGAAGTGTGTTTAAGAGCTGATACCTTTGTGGGAAACAGTTTCTCCACATTTTCAAGTCTTATAGTTCTTGAAAGAACACAGAAGATGATAAGAATGAATGGCACCAACTTGTGTGGGGAAAATGTAAGATGGCCTTCTTATGCTTACAACATACCAGGAACATCAAATGGTCCAAAGAGATGGGTTACAAACATGTCAGAATCAAATCTTCAATCTATCAGCTATGGCACCAATCACATCTCCTGTTAACAGTGCCTTGTTTAATTAAGCATTCCTGCTTCACACTTTCAGAGTAGAAAGAGCCCCTTTTTGTTGGCTCAACATTTTCACTTCTGGGCATGATTGACAACTAGAAAGAAGGATTTTGATGTAGTGAACACACATTTGAGGTACAGTTTCTCGTTATGTAAATTGAACCCACTTTTTAGGAACACGACTCTCAGGTCTGACACTGTTTTGTTGTTAAAAAACGAAACCCCTTCGAAAGGGTAAGTTTTGGTTTCTTTATACATTATGTTTATAGTTTGGGTGGTTGATTGATTGGGTTCAAGTGGGAGAGAATTGAAAAAGGTTGAGAGAAGAGTTCTATAACTGTGTCCTCTGGTTGTCTATTTTTTTATACACTTGCGAGATCACAAAGTGGACCCATTTTAGTTATTAAAGAAAAAAAAGTGGATCATTTTTAATTTTCTTCTGTGAATGATCTTGAGAATTCCATCTTTAGGAATAATCTGTTAACATTTTATTAGATTTTGTGTTTGATTCCTTTATTGATGCAAAAAGTAGTTAGTGGTTTTTGTAATCTTGAGAATTTGACTTTGGCGAGTTCTCACACTCTAACTTGTCCTTGTAGTTCACTTTTTCACGCATTCATAGAGCCATCCTTCACTCTCAAAGATTCATGTGTGTAAAAAATTTAGGAAGCGTAATCTTGTTCCTGATCTTAGCCAAAATTTAATAACAAAGGAACCTATAAAAGAGTAGGAAGAAGGCTTGCTCCTAAGCTAGAGGTGCTGGGTAGTTGAATGAATTTTGGATTTTATTTACGTATCAAAGCTTGTCGCCTCATTTTATTTGAGATACCTAACTTTTCGGTGCATAAACTTTCTTCTTATTCACACTTCAATTTAGTCACTTAAATAGAGATCGGTTTGTAGTCATTATTAGGAAGAAACTTTTATTAAAAAAAACCTTAATAGTTGTCTCCATTTTGGTCCGAAAATTTAAATTGGATCCTAACTTTTTAAAAATTTCTATATTAGGCACTTTTAAAAAAAACTAAATTGAATTAAAAATATATATACAGAAATTAAATTGAAATCAAGACAATGACATTTGGTTGTCGTTGGCCTATCATTTAATATTAACTGATTATGTGTCACTTGCGAATATGACATGTGACATCATGTAATGTTGTTTGACATGTTAATATTATTAGTATTTTTTTTTTAAAACTGACACGACTTTTTTAGGACACAATTGAAACATTTTGAAACATAAAGACTAACTTGAAACTTTCTTATGAAAGTGGAAACCAAAAGAGTAATTAAGTTTAAAAAAGTGATAACATGCCACCTCTTAAGAAAAAGTATGATACATACTAAGTATTTTAATCAACTAACCTAATAGGTCGAAACGGACTAGCCGGATAACCTATAATTTTTTTTTACTTTTTAAGTCAAACAACTCAAAAGGTCTAATAAAAATGTAAAACATTAAAATAAAATTATTGCTAGGACATTTGAATAATATTTTGTTTAAGATTTTATTTATGTGAACTTATCCACAAATGCATGAGTCAATCATTATGTGGTAGATCAACAAAATTAGTTTTTAATTTTTATGTGTAAATATTTAACCAAACTCACTTTTATGTGTCAAAATACAAAATAGACTAAAAAAAATATTATATCAAGTTGTACTCTCTACTTAATAGTTTTACTTACTCAAATTTACAACACAGTCACATTAATTGTACCTTAACTCTGTTCAACGGCTGTGAGAACCGAACGGTCACGAAATGTTTTCTGGCACGTCAACCTCTGGATCTTCTCCATCCAATTTGTCATCGTATCCTATCGGTCAACTATAAATCTATAATAACAATTTTATATATTTTTTTAAAATATTATTTAAATAATTTAGTTTATTATTTGAAAGGTAATAAATGCGTAGAAAAGTCATATTAATTTATCAGATTGTTCAAGGATTTTTTTTTTCAAATTTATGATTTTTTTTATTCTTAAAATAAAAAAGGGTTTAATAGGTTCGGATGTCCTTATATTTGTGGGTTCGTTTCAATTGGGTCCTCCAATTTTGAAAGTGATCAATTTGGTCCCTAATTTAACAAAATTGAGTCAATAATACCCTTTCCGTTAAATGTAATGGACCACGTTAACTTTTTAAACATGTAGCATGTTGAGGCATCCTTTTATTTGCAGGAGGTTGCACAGTTTTATTTGAAGGATGCTTCAACATACCACATGTTTAAAACGTTAATGTCGTCCATTGCATTTAGCGGAAAGGATATTATTGACTCAATTTTGTTAAATGAGGGACCAAATTGATCACTTTCAAAATTGGAGGACCCAATTGAAACGAACCCACAAATATAGGGACCTCCGAACCTATTAAACTAATAAAAAAGTATTCCATATTTGAGGACCAAAAATAATATTCCCAAAAGTAAATAAATGGTGCCATTTCTTTTTTAGATTTTCTATAATGTGTTACCTCGTACATGTTCTATTATTGCACTGATTTAATTATTTAGTCTATCTTTTCTTGATAATGTATAGTAACTAATTTCATCTCTATATTTATCTTCTCTGCTGCATTATTTTACAGTATATATATATATAT